CACCTGTCCCATGACTTAAAGTCACGATAACCACTGAAGTCTCCTCCAGCTCTGCGATTCTGTGACTGAAGGCGGAGGCAAAGATTATTTTCAAGACATTGCATTGCTCTTCAAGGTCAAGTACACATGCAAATATGTCTATGTGCAGAAGCCCAGAACCCAAAGACCTTTCTATAATGCCTTTGAGAACCTAGAGTGACCTCTGGGCCTATGATAAGGCAATACTAATGGAACACAGGCTCTGACAGGTCCTACCAAGCTAGAATGACTCTAAGGATAGACTGGTAAGACTGTCTGTCATCAGAGAGGATCAGTCTAGCTAATCCAAAGTGGTTCATCACCAGACCAACAGGTGATAATTTTTTTTTTTGCCCACTCATAAAGACCATTTAGTAAATAGTTGATCAGTATTGGCAAAGAGAGTACCAATATCAATGAAATCACATGACTATAAAGTATTAAAGAAAGAATCACCCAAAAGCAAAGGGCTAGCAAAGCCAAATGGGATGGTTTAGTAAGAGATGCGGCCAGTGTGATTCTCTCATGGCTCAATGCTTTCTGATGATAATTATTATGCTATCTGACATTTATAAAAATGCTTTTTAAGGTTTGCTAAGTGCTTTGTATATGCCATCCCAAGCGATCTCATCAACTCTGTGAGACAAGTACTATTATTATCCCCATTTTATATATGAGGAAACTGGGGCTCAAAGAGGTTAAATTACTTGCCCAAGATCACAAAGCTAATAAGTTTCTGAGACAAGATCTGAACCTAGTTCTTCCTTATTCCAGGTCTCCACAATCCAACTTGGTCCTTAGGCTTATATCACCAGCCCAAACAGAGCAACCAAAGAACCCCATTTCTGATGGTCCCATTTCAAACAAGTCAGGTGGTGGCTGCCAATGAATAGGCTGCTGGTCCTAGAGTCAGGAAGACTTGAGTCCAAATCTGGCCTCAGACAATTACTAGCTGTGTGACCTTAAGCAAATCTACCTGCCTCAGTTTCTTCAACTGTAAAATGGGGATAAAAATAGCACTTACCTCACAGAGTTGTGGTGAGAATCAAACAAGACATTTGTATAGTATTTAGTGCAGGACCTATCGGGTAATAGGCACTTAATAAATGTATGTTCCCTTTTGGCCTTCCTCCCAAAACCCTTCTATTCAAAGGGACCAAAGGAACCAGAGGAGCCAATCACTGCAAAACAAACCTAAGATCCATTAAATGCACAAGCACAATCATTATGTAACACTATTATTCAATTTTGGCTAGATGAGAAGGGATAACATCATTGACATATAATGAAACTTTTCTTCTGCTTTCCCCCCATTTTTTGGCGTCTGTTGATCTTTCCCCGAAAGAATGAAATAAGAATGGTACAATTGCATGATACAATTGAAAAAGCTCTAGATTTTGAATTAAAAGACCTGGGTTTGAATTTCAGCCCTGCCACTTACTATATATAAGTTGTTTAACTTGCCTAAATGTTAGAGTTCCTCATCTATAAAATTGGGAGGTTGGACTAGATGGCCAGTAAAGTCCCTTATGTCCCTAAATGTATGATAATGTGATATGCATGAAAAGAAAAAAGAAAACAAGCATGTGGTAGACATCTAGTGTGTGCCAGGCACTGTGCTAAGCACTTAAAACATTATCTCATTTGATCCTTATAGCAATCCTGGGAGGTGGGTGTTATTATGATTCCAATTTTACAGTTAAGGAAACTGAGGCAGACAAGTTAAATTCCTTGCCAGGATCACATAGAGAGTAAGTGTCTGTGGCCAGATTTGAACTTAGGTTCCCTTGCTCCAGGCCCAGCTTTCTGCCCACTGCACCACCTAGCTGCCTCAATCTACAAAATGAGAAATTAAATAACCAGGAGATGACAACTGAGGATGCCTACTATGCCAGTTTCTACAGCACTTTAATGTATACAAAATGCTTCCCCCATGACAATACTGTGGGGTAGGTAGATAGTATACATATTAATTTCCTGATTTATAGTTGAGGTAACTTGGGCTTGTAAAGGTGAAGTGACAGGATTTTCATTCATCTCCTTGGCCCAGTCACACATCTAGCTAAATGTTCAAGGTGGGATCCCTAGAAGGTTAAGAGGGCATCTTTCTTGGTCTTTAGATGACCCATTAGAATCTTTAACTATCTGTTTTCCTAATTGTCAAACAAGTGGCTAAGAACTGTTCTCTTCAAAATCCACAATGGAAAAAGGAAAGAGAAGAAAAGGAAACCACCAAAGACTAATAAGGAAAGAATCATAGAATCATAGATCTATAGAGCTGGAAGGGACCCCCCAGAAGTCAAGTCCAACCCCTTCATTTTACAAACGAGGAAACTGAGGTCCTGAAAAGTTAAGTGACTTGCCCTAGGTCACATAGGTTATAAATAGTAGAAATGGGATTCAAACCCAGGTCCTCTCACCCTAAACCTATCACTCATGCCACTGTAACTCTAAAACATTTAATTTTTATCAATTTACCGGCATTCTAAAGAACAATCTCTGTCCTTCCCCAAACCTGCAGTAATGGATAGAGTCATGATCTTGGGGTAAAGAAAACCCAGGTTCAGATCCAGCCTCAGACACTAAAAGAATGACCACAGATAAGTCACAACTTTTTTGTCCTTGTTTCCTCATCGACAAAATGATTACAATAACATCTATGATAATCTACCTCTCAGGGTTGTTTTGAGCCCTAAGGGAAATTATGCGCATCAAGAATATGGCAATTTTGAAAGTAATATAAAAATATTAGTTATTTTTAGAAGGAAACCAAATAGAGAGGTTCCTTGTCTTCCAAACATTGGTATGCCTAATCAAGCTGCTTCCAGGGGAAAAGGATCTCTCCAGTACCACCCCCTCTCCTGAGATACCCACTAACTAAAGTCATCCACCTGCCCCAGATGCCAACAGGAATTCCAATGCAAGGTCAGTTACAGCCTTCTGAGATGGGGAGCAGTAGCACAGGAACCGTCATGGGCGACCTGACATTTGGCCCATTCCAAACACTCTGGAAAGTTTTCAAATGTAATGGTATTCTCAGCACAGGCAGAGCTGCCTCGATCAAGGGCTTTCATAAATCATTCATCAAACCACATCTACTCCACCCCCATGAATCAGCTAGATGGAGCAGTGATAAAGTCATCAATCAATCAATCAATCAATCAACAAGCATTTCTTTTTTTTTTTTTTATTTTTAGGCAATTGGGGTTAAGTGACTTGCCCATGGTCACACAGCTAGTAAGTGTCAAGTGTTTGGTGTGAGGTCAGATTTGAACTCAGGTCCTCTTGACTTCAGGGCTGGTGCTCTAACAAGCATTTCTTGAGATCTATTATGTGCCAGGGCACTGTGTTGGGTCCTGGGGCTACAAAGATGAAAATGAAACATTCCCTGCCTTCAAAGAGCTTAAAGTCAACTGGAAATGTCTAAAAAATAAGGTGGTAACCAAAGGCTACAGAAAATGACAGGTACTAACCACTTTCTAACTCCTTTTTCTCAGCTTCCCATATCAGCTAAGTAATGGATAATTTCTTGTCTGTTATCATCTCTGAGTTATATAACAAACGTTTGTGATATATAAAAACAATGCTACTGTTTGTCATTATATTCTTTATATCACAAAGGAAATTGTAAAACAGAATTTCCCTCTCTTAAGGTTCTTAAGAAAGGGCTGACAATTATCATTCCAAGGTGGTTTAGGTACAAGATTGTCTGTAGACAGGAGGATAGAATAGATAGGCCCTTTGGGTTCCTGCCACCATGATCCAATCAAGCATTTAGTTTCTCCCACCCTATCTCCCAAACAAACAAAAAAAATACTGAGTGGAGCAGTGTGTGATTTTTTAGAAATAGCTTAGACTTTACTGTCACCCAGAAACTTCATCAGAAACAATGTCTATTTATCGTAATATCATCATGACAAGGAACAGCCCCTTGCTGTCACAGAAAATTAAAAATACTGCAGGAAATTCCTGCTCACATGACAAGAAACAAATAATTTTCAGAGATCTCCACAACAGCATAAGAATGGAAAAGAAAGGGGAAATGTTGGTGAAGATAAAACAATCTACAGAAATGCCATTTCTTAAATAATGACAGGTTAAGAAAACACTTAGCACCCAGATCTGGAACCAACATTCAGTGCCTTAGCCCAGCTGCAGTAATGTCTGAAAGGACAAAACATTTCACTACATCCACTTCAAAGAGAGTAAGAAGCAGTGTACATGGCCCTTCTGTCCTTCGGTTCCTGGGATCCAGGAGGGAAAAAAAATCATCTCCAAAGAATAAGAATAAAGAAAAGGTGATAGGAATACAGGAGAGTATAATCTATGTGGTTAGCACAGTGAGTGATCAGATCAAAACAGTACTATTTTAATCTCAAAATCACTTCAGGGTACAACAGGCCACTTTATCAAAGAATCGCAAAATCCCAGAATTGGAAAGGATTTCAGGTCATTTAGTCACACCCCAACCCGAAGCACAGATTCCCTCCATGATACCCCTGACAAATAGTCATCTAGTCTCAGCTTGAAGAGATGGATAACTTCGAGTGACAGATAACTCACTATCTTCCAGGATAATCCATTCCATGTTGGGATAGCTCTAATTTTTAGGAAGTCCCTCCTTATATATTGGGCTGAAATATGCTTTCCTGTAACTTTAGCCTATAGTTCCTTGTTCTGCCCTGTGGAGCCAAGCAGAATAAATCTAATCTCTCTTCTTCACAAAAGAGGATTAGTTAACATACCACCCCATTGTGCCATACTTAAGCTAGGTATCTGAAAACATCAATAGACCCTGAGATCTGTGATGTCTGTATGGCGAAGGGCACACCAGGGTCTGATGAAATCTAACAGATGCCAAGCATACACTCAACATTTCTGCTGAATCCAATTAAACTCTCTGCCACTAGTAGGCTCTGTTACGGTGGGAGTGGAGGTATAATTGGGAAAACCTCATATGCACAGAACATGCACAGATGTACCTGGTAAGGTAAGTCGGCCATCCTTAAATAAGTTTCCATTTTCAAACAGAAAGGAGACAAACTGGGGACACCATTGTTTGGCCTTGAGAACTGATGCAAAATAATAGCATCTTTGGAGTCAACCTCTTGCTCTTTCCTGTCAAAACCAGAACAGAAATAAAAAAAAAAACAACAACAACAACAATAGAACACGTGTTATACATTCAGCAAACTGAGTTCAAAAGCTACTGAGGCACGGCTCCTTAATGAGATAGTAGACCTGTTTTATTCAAGTCTTGACAGACTCTAATGCACTTAGCTTACAGAAAGAAAGCTTAGCCAATACATCAGAAAAGATCATGAAACTTTAGAAGTTCTCTCTAGTAGACAGTGGCTTAAGGGCTTAGGAAAAAATGTTTTCAACCTTCTTTGCTTAAGTGCATAATGATAACAATGATGATGATGATGATGACGACAAGGAAGAATACAGATGATGATCTTTATATAGCACTTTTATATTTGCAAAATGTTTTACATTTATCATCTCATGTGAGCCTCACAACAACCCTGTGAGGTAGGAACTACAGAAAATGTGTAAAACTCCCCATTTTACAGATGAGAAACAGATGAGGTTCAGAGAAGTAGTTAATTGACTTGTCCATGATCATCAAACAGCTACTGTCAAAGTTAGAATTTGAACCCAGGTCTTTCTGACTCCAAATCAGGCATTATCTACTACACCAGACTGTCTCTCCTCAAATATAAGTAGGCTCCGTGAGCAAGAAAAGCATTTTTCAGAATAAATCCATTTCATTCACTGTGGATTACATTTCTTCTATTGGGGCCAAATTGGATGGGACTGAAACATTCAATCTACTACAGATCATCTATAAAACCACATTACTTATAGAGACCCAGAAATAACAGTCTGCCTATGCACATGCCACCAGAATTGCCTGCAGGGAACTAGCTCAGTTTAGTGGGTTAGTCCCAAAGATCCAGGTATCATGAAGATCTGGTTTCTCATCACTTTCCCTTTGCTCCCAATATCAGCTGCCTTAGCAATGTCCTTTTCCTTCACTTCCAGTAACCTTCTCTCATCTCCTCATTCTAGGAAGCCTATCACCACCCTCCCCTTTTGTTTTGCTCCACTCCCACACTTCCGTCTCATTTTATTTTTAAGCTTTGGCTACTCTCTTCTTGGAAAGTAGTAAACTGCTTGTTGCTATCCATGAAGCACAGACTATTGTTAACAAGAGATAAGGTGTTCTTAACCATTATTTTCCATCCTTTCTCATAAAGTCCCCCTAGATCTCACCCACTCAATTCATTTCAGGAACTGATTTGAATTGCCATCTATTTTTACTCTATATTTTTTCCAACCCAAATGACAGAACTTACTGACTTTAGCTTTCTCTTTGAAGCTCCTCACTCTCTGGTTTATTTATTTGTCACTCTTACTTGGGGTAGTATTAGTCAATATACCTCCTCACTCTCTCCTGTTAACCTGAGTATTTGAAAACATTAACAGACTCTGAGACCAACTATGACCATCTGGTAAAGAGCAGGCTGTAGTCCTCTGATGTCCCACTATGCCAATAAGCATTTGCTTAACATTTTTGATAAATGAGATGAAATTCTCTGTCACTACTACCATGAAGGGTGATAGAATGGAAAAATACTGAACTTGGAGTCAGAAGAACTGGATGTGAGTCCTAACTATGACAATTGCCAGCTATGTGACCTAAGGAAAATAACCTTTTCAGACCTCAGTTTCCTTATCTGTAATCAGACCAACATTTATAAAATATACCTACCAGGTTTGTTATAAGACTCGAAGAATGTTAGAGTTGGAGGGGACCTTAGAGGTCATTCTACCCTCCCCCCCACCCATTTAACAGATGGGAAGCCAGAGAGAGAAAATTACTTGCTCAGTGTCACACTTTTAGTTAGTGGCACAGCCAAGAATGTGTTGGCTAGGTGGCAAAGTGGATAGCCTGGAGTCAGGAAGATTCATCTTTCATCTTCCTGAGTTCAAATTTGACCTCAGACACTAACTGTGTGATGCTGGGCAAGCAACTCAACCCTCTTTGCCTTAGTTTCCTCACCTATAAAATGACCTGGAGAAGGAAATGGCAAACCACTCCAATATCTTTTGCCATGAAAACTCAAAATGGGGTCATGAATAGTCGGATAGAATTGAAAAAGGACTGAACAACAACAAAAGAGCCAAAAATAGCACCTGGGCCTCCTGACTCCCAGGCCTGTGCTGTTTCCACAATACTCTGTTTTTCAAGATAATTCAAGCAAAGGCTTGCTTTGTAACCTAAAAGTGCTATATAAAATCAACAAATTCAATAAGCATTTACTAAGTGTCCTGCACAAAATAGGTGCTTTATAAATAATTGAGTGATTATTTGTTATCATGCCTACTGAAAGGCATTTTCTTCTCCTTTATTGTTCTTGGGCTTCATCTACATTTTAAATCATTCCACTTAAAGTTAATGCAAGGTTTTGGGGTTTTTTTAACTTTGCACAGATATTCACTAAGGGTGCCAACACTAAGGGAAGGAAGTATAGTTTCAAAATGTTTGCATTTTCAAAATTTTTGCCACATTAATGGCTATAAAACTGAAGTTAATGAATGGAACATTTTGAATACTCATCTTTACTAGTCAAAAGAATAGAAATAAGTTTTTCTTTCTGGACTTTCTTTTAGATGAGAATGCTTTACATGTTAAGATACTAGCAAACAAAACATTTATTTAGGCTACACTTAAAAAACACAAAGTAAAGTGTGGGCCGATTATCTAGGTATCTAGTCCAAAGAAGGCTGGACATCAAATGGGATACTTTTAATTAAGGATAGACTATATCAGAATGGAATCTTCTATATAATGATAGAATCTAGTGTTGCATACTTAGTAAATGCTTGTAATTAATTGATTGAATTCACATAAAATTTTTCCACAACTTACTGCTAGGTGGTGACACAGTGGATCAAGTGCTAGACTTAGAGTTAGAAAGACCTAGAGTTAGTCAAATCCCACCTCAGACACTTACCAGCAATGTGACCCTGGGTAAGTAATTTAACCTCAGTTTCCTCAACTGTCAAATGGGGATGATAATAATAGCACCTACCTCACAAGGTTGTTGGGAGGATCAAATGAAATAATATTTGTGAAGTATTTTACAAATCTTAAAGCACTATACAAATGCTAGCTATTATTATTTTTACTATTACTGAGTAATTCAGATTTTTTGCCTATTTTCCTGATAAATGAAACTGTGTATACCTGTTTTCTCAGAGTTTAGCCTAAATCCAGCCTAAATAAACTCACAAAGTTTGACTTTGGTATAACTCTATTTCCCTTTTAGCACATTTCTTCTCCTTTTAAGGTACCTTTTGCCAGGTACCCACTGAAGACAGCACAGGACAAAGAGAAAAAGTACTGGTTCTAGAAACAAAGGACATGGGTTCATATCCTACCCTAATATCTGTATGACCTACAGCAAATCAATCTTCTGATTTGTAAAATGGAGTGGGAAGGAGGGAGTGGATAGCCCCTGAGATCACTTCCAGCTTCAGACCAAGGCTACCTAGGGGACATTAGGTACCCCACCTGGGTCTGCCTTGCTGGGCAGTACTCTATCATCTGGACCTTACCCTTCCTCTTTCCCCCATCAAAACTTTCTTCATAACCTACTACCACTTAGAGATCATATCTGTATCATAGAATGAATTTTCACAGACATAATGCCTTATCCCTCAGGATTTAGGGAATATTTGTCACCAGTGAGGAGATATTAGAAATACAAGGGAATTTCTCTATGGCCAGTTCTGACCACCAAGATATATTTCAAGGTTATTGCTGGAATACAGTAAGCTAAATAAATACCTTGAGGGTACATCTACACATATAAATGATATGGAGAACAGAGCTAAACAAGTCATACGAGTAGAGAAAGAGAGAGAGAGAGAGAGAGAGAGAGAGAGAGAGAGAGAGAGAGAGAGAGAGAGAGAGAGAACAAAGAAAGAAAGAAAACCTTATGGCCTGAAATCTAATTAAGATAAAATTGGGTTCCTGTTTCAATTCTTTATTCCTTCCTCCAGTAAAGTCCTATTCTAATGACTAATAGCGGCCTGGGTTTTCAAAGGCTTTGCCAGAGGAGTACAAAATCTATTTGACTCTCTGATTAACTAAGTCATTCCATTGACATATGTTACATTCATGAGCCAGCCACACTAATGTGTAGAGAAGGATGGCCAACAGGTGATAAAATCCTTTCCCCAAAACTACTAATGAAAACCATCTCTAAAAGCATGGAGGACTTGTAATCTGCATCAGCGGAAGGAGTCCTCAAATGGATAGAACCATAGATTATTGAAGTATTTAAGTTCGAATTGCCTAAATCATTTGAATAAATTGTTTCAAATCTGTGCTTTATTTTACATATGTCAACACATCCTGAGACATAATTTCTTGTGTGAGCAAAAAAACGTAGGCACAAATATAACCTATAGTGCTGAGAGAGTCAAATAGCTATACAGTTCAAAGCAGAAAACTCTGCAGATGTGGACATGATAGTTTAAAATCCAAACCCTTTCCCCACAGCTATGCTATGTAAGATTCCTGTTCTGCAAACTGAAGAATCCAAATATACAAGACAACGTCCTAACACATTCTCAAATGTGTTTCAGGTTTTTGTTTTCTGTAAAGATTATTTAATAGGCTTTCTGGAAGGGGAATGAAGAATTGGGAAAATGTTAACAAAAGATAATAGAAAAAAATCAAAGGTCATTACAGAACTTCTGTTTATACTACATTGTGGAAGATTCCCCCCCCCCCCACTGAAGAAAAAAATATGCATATGATTCTCTTTATAGGAGTTTGCCAAAAAGACATTTTAGTCCTTTGAAGATGCTTTATATAAAATTGGCCAACATGTTAACTTGGTTCCAGGGACCTTTCAGCAATTTAAGGAAGGCTTAAATACAGTATAATTTTCACCAGGACTCCAAGCACCCATGAACCACCCCCACATCCTTCCTCAAGATAAACGCCTTCCTTTCCAGTTGGCTCCATCTGCAGTTTGCTGAAGCCACCATTTTCGGAGATTTTCCACATCTATCCCTGTAAACAAACTGCAGCAAGCTCTACTACCATTTCTAGCACTTCCAGATTTCCTGTTGAAGGCAAACACAGACACCTATGTGGGGCCCTCACTCTCAGATATTCTCAGTGCTCACAGGGTTATTCAGTTGGAAGTTGAAGCTGGGAGTCCCAGCAGCCTGATCCACATGGTGGTGAGTATGAAACAAGAAGGACGCTGCCCTGTTCTTTCTGCAGGCAGCTCTAAACAGGTTAATACTGCATCATTTCCCAAAGCTGCCCAAACACATTGGTTTAAGCTTAAAAACAGCCCTTCAAAGACAATAGGAGCTGCTGATTTTGCGACTACAACTTCCCTGAAATTGTAGGTTAAATTGAGGATGCTCAAAACTCATATTCTAGCATAGCCTTCCAATCAAGTGCTGCAGCCTGTTTCATTTGGTTCACGGAATAAACAAATCTTCGGCCTAATTCAGTTTCCAAAATCCAGGCCAATCAACACCTATATGGAAAATGAAAAACTCAAGTGCTGTGCAATTATCCTTCATAAGGACCATTGCCTCGGGCTATTTCTGCTTAACACCAATATGGGTCTGGGTAGGTTTGCTGGCCACTTTCTCCTTAGTTCATCCAGCAGCTCAATGTCCTGGAAACTCAAAAATTGCACACACCGCCAGGTGACCACTGAGACACCCTCGGGCAGAACGACTACCTAGACTGCGGGCATTTCTGTGATCTGGCCTGGCCTAAGGAAGAGAGGAAGGGCTGAAGCAAACTAAACTCTCACCTGGTGTAGGGCAGTGCGCCTGGCCCGCCCCTCGCCCCCACCCGTGTCAACAACGCCCCTGACTACTGCAGCAGCAGCAGCAGCAGCAGCAACAACGGGCACCGCAGCCTGCTCAGGGGCCCTCTGCCAGTCTCCCTGGGCTCGCCGTCTCTCGGTCTCACCTAATGGCCAGGAGCTCGTGGAGCAGGTACGCCGCTGCAGCCAGCAGGGCTCCCCCAGTCAAGTACAGGGTTTTCTTCCACCAGGAATCCGAACCCAACCCTGCCATGATCCCTCCGTAATCCTGCAAAGGGAAAGCGATGATGTCCCCATAAAAGGTATAGGGTTCCTCAGATGCGGCCCACAAGCCGAAGGAGATGCTCTGGTTCCGGCTCAGATCCACCACACACGACCTGGACGAGGCAAAGCCAATCCCCCAGTGCATGCTGCGCGGCTAGCGCCCGGCGGCCCTCGGCTGGCCAGGGCGGTGCGCATGGGACAAGGAGGAGGAGGAAGAGGCGATGGAGGAGGGCTCCGAGCCGAGGCGTCAGGAGCGCGAGCGAGCTCAGGGAGCAGCTGGAGCGGAGAGAAGTGGAGGAGATGGAAGAGGAAGAGAAGGAAGAGGAGGAGGAGGAAAAGCAGAAGGAGGAGGTGGAGAAACAAGAGCTGGAGCAGCAGCAGCAGCAGCAAGAGAAACAGCAGCAGCACCTGGCCGGGGTTGCTCTGGCTCTCTCTGTAGCTGCCGAAGCCGCAGCCACCACAGGCGCATCCTCCAGCTGCTTCTCTTTGCCTTCCTTTGTGCCCAGAAGAGCCTGAGTGATGTCATTGCTCCTCAGGGCAGGAAAATAGATGGGGGAGAAAATCACCTTCGTACCTGCCCCACCCCCACCCTTCACCCCTCTCTTCTCAAGTCTCTCCTCCTTCTCTTCCACCTCCTGCACCAAGCTCCTCGGACCGAGAAAGGGGAACCACTGGCGAGGCCATGTCTAAATTTGGGTCTGAGCCCTCACGGCCCCGACAGTCCAGTCCATGGTTTCTGCGCCTCTAAGCGGCGCTCGCTGCGAGGCACGCCCGAGAAAAGATCTCTCTGGACCAGAGGGTCTGTGGCAGGCTGGGAAGTCGGCCTGACGATGAGAGAGCTTCCTCTCCGCATCCTCCAAGGGGGATCGAAGAGTACGCAAGGCTCTTGCAAGGTCCCTTCATCCTCTCCACCCTCCGAGCCTCATCCTCCTCCCGTGTCCTGTCTTCTGTTCTAAGTGTCTGGGAAAGGTCACAGGCAGAGGGCATAACTCACCTCACGCTAAGAGGGATATTCAGACTAGCAGACCAGCGCTGCTGCAACTGGAGCTGGGGACCGGGAAAGGGGGAAGGGGGGGACGGGGGGGACGGGGGGGACGGGGGACCCGGATTGATGTCTGGAAATTGACTGATTGACCACTAAGGAACCCGTTTTCTATTTGAATTGAAGAGAATGTCCGTCAGTCAATCAGTCAGCGAACTAACATTTATTAAGGGCCTGGTATGTGCACAGCATTGTGCTAAGTGTCTGAGGAAAGAAGGAAGGAAGAAATGAAAGAGGAAGAGAGAAAAAAAAGAGAATTTAGGCTTTGTTATGTATCCCTTGGGATGGGGCATGGGCCTGTTTTTACCATTCAAAAAAAATACTAAGGATAGGAAAGTTAGTCCCAGAAAAACCCTCTCAAATATTGCCTCCTTTGAGATCTTGGAAAGGGATTTCCCAGATCCACATCCAGTATCTTTTGGTTAGAAAAATCTCCCAGAATTTAAATTATTTTTTCTTGTTGTGAAATTATGAAGAACAACAAACTTGTTTGTTTGTTTGTTTTTTGGTAAAGCAACTGAGGTTAAGTGACTTGCCCAGAGTCACACAGCTAGTAAGTGTTATGTATCTGAGGTTGGATTTGAACGCAGGTCCTCCTGACTCTAGGGCCAGTGCTCTATCCACTGTGCCACCTAGCTGCCCCAAACTTTTTTTTTTTAAGTATACAAAACACTGGACTGGGATTTATGAAAAGCAAAGATAGAAAGTTTTCAGTAAGGCAGGGGCCACTGGGTTTCAAAATCATGAAAAACTGATGACCTTAGAGACAATAGTTTCATTTCAGTGCTGGGAACAAAAATCTGATTAGAGGATTTGAAAGAGTAGGCAGTAGGTTGATGTGCCGTGTTTTGTCTTTCAGCCCTGTCCGATTCTTTCTGACCCATTTTGGGATTTTCTTGGCAAAGATAATTGAGTGGTTTGCCATTTCCTTCTCCAGCTCATTGCATAGTTCGGAAACTGAGGCAGATGGAAGTTAAATGACTTGCCCAAGGTCACACAGCCAGTAAGTGTCTGAGGTCAGATTTGAACTGAGGTCTTTCTGACACCAAGCCTAGTGCTTTATCCACTGTATCACTTAGCTGCCTCTAGGTAGTAGGTAGTGTCTGACCAAAAAAAAGTACTGTACTCTTTTTTGGGAATAAGCTTGTCAAAAAATGTATAATAAAAAATTATCCTAATGCAAGCATTTTTCTGCTTATGGAGAGAAATGTTCAAATTGACAAGAGTTTCCTGTGACCTTCCAACATCTCTCTCAAGTAAAGCATTTTGAAATCACAATTTATAAGATTCTTTAACAATGACTATTTCACAGTCAAGACTGAGCAAGGTAACAGAGTTTAGGTAACAATTGAGTTAACATTTTGTTTCATCTACTGGGATTTATGAGGAATGGAGGAAGAGAACTGACTGGGTTTATATTACATAACCTCAGTCTTCTTAATGAAGTAGAAGTGTAGGTTAGATGCTCTTAAGTGTGGAGGTAAGAGTAAACATGAAGATGAAAGGAGGGAAAAGTCCCTTCCTCCTTAAGAAGATGGAGGCTATGAGATGAGGAATTTCTTAGGGAGTAGTGCATGGATTGTCTAACAGTATTAAGGGCCCAACTGAGATGGTACAACTTTAATTTTTAGTAAGTGAAACTGATTCAATTACATGACTTTCTCTAGTGACTCTCCACAGCCCTGGAGCATGAGAAGAGAAGATAAAAGTAGCCTCAGAAAGGTATTTCTCTAGTCAAGTTTCAAATCTTGGAGGTAGATCTTCCTGCCTTCAGGAAATGGAGAGACCACCATGTTAGTGCATAGATAAAGCAGGCTAGGCAAGACCACTTGAGCAGAGAAATTGTGTAGTCAGTTGGCTAGAGCAATCATCAAAATGAATATTGAAATTCCTGAAGGTGACAGCAAGAGATAGGGTGAAAAGGGAAGATTATGAGCTAGTACTAACAGTCTCAGAGAAAGGAGAAAATCAGAAAAAAAATAACCTGATGAATAAGAATAAGAATAAATCAGTCAATAAACATTTTTAAGTGCCCATTATATATCAGGCACTGTGATAAGCTTTAGAAATACAAAGTAAAAAGATAGTCCCTGCCCTCAAGGAGCTCACAATCTAAAGGGAGAAGACATTCTAAGAAGAGAAGCTAAAGGGGGGAGGGGAGAAGAAGGGAACCTAGCTCAGGGCATGATGAAGACCTGCAGCCAGGTGGGAAATGATAAGATAGTTGTAATGGGCACCTTTCTTAAATAGAGGAATTCTCCAAATCTCCAATCAGAGGGAGGAAGTTGTCCCAGGGTCAGGGAATACTGAGTTGGTGTGAGTTTCAGAGTTGATGCAGTGTTGTAGGAAGATGAGCTGAAGTAGAAGTCCAGAACGTCAACCAGGTGGGAAGTTATTCTCAGCTCCATTTTCTTTTCTTTTCTTTCTTTTTTTTTTCTGTGAGGCAATCGAAGTTAAGTGACTTGCCCAGGGTCACACAGCTAGTGTCATGTGTCTGAGACTGGATTTGAACTCACATCCTCCTGACTCCAAGGCCAGAGCTCTATCCACTGTGCCATCTAGCTGCCCCTCCATTTTCTCTTCATCTCAAATCTTTCTAACATGGTTCGCCATCCCCATATCCTTCATACCAGTGTCTGATGAAGTGGAGGCTCTTTTCTGTATCAGGGTCAACACTTCTATATGTACCCTTGACACCAACCCCTCCTATGCTCTCCTGAAGATTGCCCCCACAATCATCCCCATTATCTTTCTAATCTTCAGGTTCTGCCTGTGTACTGGTTCTCTGCTAGCTACAAACTCTCCAAAGCCTCCTCACCCGATATCACTCCTCCCTTTCTGAACTCCTTGGGGGAAACAGTGTATCAAGTAGGTACCTCCTCTTTCTCATCACTCTTTTTCTAAATCCTCTGCAATCTGGTTTCTGACCTCATTAACTAAAACTGCTCTCACCAAAGTTACCAGTGATGTCTTAAATCCCTAATCCTGGACTTTTCTGTAGCATTTGACACTATTTACCTAGATGTTCTCTTCTTTTCCTTGCAATCTCTTTATTTTTCTCCTAATATATGTTAGTTGACTGACTGACTACCCATCTGACTTCTTTCTCAATCTTCTTTGCTGGATCTTCATCCATGTCACATCCCCACCCAAGTATCTGTCCTTGGTCCCTTTTCCCTTTACTTGCTATACTTTATTTGATGTCTCATCAGTTCCCATAGATTTAATCATCAGTATTAAGCAGATGATTTCCAGATCTATTTATCCATCCCTAACCTCTCTCCTGAGTACCAATCCCATTACACTAACTGTCTATTGGACATTTCAAACTCGATATCCTCTAGGCATCTCAAACTCAGTATGTACAAAACACTAACTTTCCTCTAAAACCCACCCCTCTTCTGAACTTCCTTCTTACTGTCAAGAGCACTGCCTTCCTCCAAGGCACCCAAGTTTGCAACCTCATTATTCTCCTAAGGCAAACACTCTTTTGAGGGACTTTAGATCTCTCCCCCAAAAGGGGAAGATGCCTGAAGAAGGTACATTAAAGGAAACTGAAAAGGGAGAGGAGATACCCACTTCGGGGCATGGTAGAAAATATCCAGAGAGTGAAGCTTTGAGAATAATGAGGACATGGCTGGCCTGGGTATTTATTCCTTAAAATGGAGGCTCTGGGAGGAACCAGCCCCTAGGTATATGGAGGTTACCTATTCATCCCCTCTATGCACAATGGAGCAGCCATAATGGCTCTCCTACTATTCCTCAGGAACAACACTCTATCTCCTTCTCCACACCTTTGCATTGGCTGTCTCTTACACCTGGAATGTTTTCCCATCTCACTTTCACTTTTTGAATCCTTAACTTCCTTCAAAATGTAGCTCAAATGTTATCTTCTACAGAAGGTCTTTCCTGGTGCTGTGTCCTATTTCTACCCCATCTCCAAATTGCTAGTGCCTTCACCCTAAGGCCACCTTTTACCGTCTCTCTGGATAGATTAGATAGATAGATAGATAGATAGATAGATAGATAGATAGATAGATAGATAGGGATCTCTTGTGCATTCTGACTTATGTACATTATTAAAAGTTATGCTTGACTCAGTG